TCAGAGCATCAAATGAAGACTTCATTGGGTTTTATAGTGGCTTTCTGATTTTGGTAGTCCATTCAAGAAGGGAGTTTGAAAGTTGTTGTATACTGTTAACGATTGTCTGCCCATGTCCTGCCTGAAATACCATGATTGTTTATGAAAAGTATCTTTAATAAAGCTGGATACAGTTTGGCTTGGAATGCTGCCTCTGATCTTTTCCCACCAATGGGGAACCTGGCTTCTCCAAGTCTCTTGAGACTGCATGTATTCTGGTGGTGTGGTGTAGAGGTTCCATTTATTGTCCAGTAATCTTTCATGGATCTTTGTAGTCTGTCTCCAAAACATAGTGATAGGTGGAGTTGGGAAGGATCCCAGGAGTAGATGTGAGAGGCTGTAAGCAGAGAAGTGGTTTCTGCCTGAGATTATGTAGCAAGCAGTCCCTGAATTATTTCTACATGGAAGTTTTTGGTGTTTTTAAGGTTTGGCCTGGTAGCTGACAGCCAAGAGTGTCTACTTCATCCACATGTGACATAAAATTTGAAAATTAATAGAAAATGCTATAGGCTTGTCAGATGTCCCTGTGTTGTATAGGGAAGGTGACACTTTCTTCTAAGGTGGTCTGCAAATAAAGATGTTAATGGGGGATATTGGAGAATCTGCAGAGAACTTTCTTTAGTATCAGAATATAGAATTCACTGACTGTGATTTTGAGTTTGCTTTTACATCATCCGGTTATATATTTCAGGAGAGTAAAAAATAAATTGGAGGCTGAACAAAGTTGACTTTTTGGTCAGTTAAGTTTCTTATTGATGAAGATTTATATATTATCTCTTACCCTAAGGTTTGAGACAGTTGTGTGGTATGTTAATATCTACTTATAGTTATTTGTACATAGAAGAAGCAGTGAAATCCAGTTTCAAACACCCAACATAACCTGTCAAAAGTCATTAACACTTAGGTTTGGGGGCACTGGGTTAAATATCATTTGTCCACTTAAGCCACTTTCAATTTTACTGTTGCTGAAGCTTTAGGGTGTACATGCTTAACACCTAGTTTTTACTCAAAAAGATCTTCCAGAATGGAAATAATCACAGGTGTCTCAGAGTACTTAGGTACATCAGGTTGGTATTTGAACAAAAATTCCAGAAAAATGTTGAGCTGTGGACTGCTAGAAGTTCTACCATGTGCTCCTGTTTAATTTTTTGGCAAATCCTCTGAGATGTGGGTATTAACCCTGTTTTATAGCTCAGATATAGTGACTGGCCAAGAAAGTTTCTTGGTGGTAGTCTGTTTTGATTTCTGTTCATTGGTCGTTTTTCATTTGCCAAAAACTTGCATGGTGAGCTTGAATGTTCTTTTTTCTTCCTGGAATGTATTTATTGATTTGACCAGTTTGGGAGTATAAAAAGTCTCAGGAAGACTCACCAGTTACTTACATTAGGAACTTTAGGGCTTAAAGAGGAGGAGAATTTATTTCCTAAAACGGGAAGCTCTAAAGTAGGGCGGCTTTTTGCGCTGCTGCCTTTGGCATGTTTTTGAGCTACCTGGCCTTCCAAGTTGGCTGCGTGTAGCATGAGATACCAGTGTCTAGGAGCAAAGAGGAGGGCTTATTTTTTGAAAATAGTTAAAGCTAGCCATGGTGGCACACACCCATAATACTGGCAAGTCAGAGGGCTGAGGCAGAAGGATTTCAAAGTTTAAGGCCAGCCTAGGTAACACCAGACAGTGTCTAAAAATAAAAAGGGCAGGAGATGTAGCTCAATGGTACAGTGCCCCTGGGTTCAATTCTCAGTTCCAGGAGGGGAAAAAAATCTTTTCAGAAAACCTAACAGCCTATTTCATCAGTTATTCAGTCTGCCTATTTCTAAATCAATATTAACCAGGGAAGGAATCACAGAATCTGTTTAAACCAGTCAGGATCATTGGTATTAAATAAGGGCAGGGTAGATATTCCTGGAAGTGAAAGGGCTATGGGATGACGAACTTATACAGATTCTGTATCTAAGCCTGACCTCATGTGACTTCATTGCAGCATTTGACACTGCTGTGTATAACCTCCCTCTTTCAGAGTTAGTACACATAACATAAATTTCACCATTCTGAAGTATACAATTCAGTGGACTTTAGAATATTCACTGTGTTGGACAATAGTCTACTGTCTGTAGAATATTTTCACCACCTGCCAAAAGAGCCCTGAACCTATTAGTTAATTCCTTATTCCTTCCTCCCCCAGCCCTAGCCAATTACTAATTTTCCTATATACATTTTCCTATTCTGGACATTTGTTTTAAATGGAATCATTTCATTTTTTTTTAAACTGTTGTTTCGCTTAGCATATGTTTTAAAGGTCCATTTGTCTACCTAGTGGCATGTAATTCATTGGTGTCGATGGGTGCATAAGCCACATTTTGTTTACTCATCAGTTTATGGACTTTGGGTTTCTACCTTTTGACCATTGTGAATATCATGTACAAGTTCTGTGTGAACATGTCTTCAATTCTTTTGTGCACACACCCAGGAATGGGATTGCTGGCTCATGTGACTATTCCACTTTTGAGAAACTGCCCAACTCTCAGTAGCTGCATTATTTTCACTCCCACCAGCAATCTATGAGGGTGTCAAGTTTCTTCACTTCTCAACATCACTGTCCCTTTTTTATGGTAAGCATCCTAGTGGGTATGAAGTGATTGTAATTTGCATTTCCCTAGTGACTAGGATGTTGTGTATCTTCTCATTTGTTGGCCATTTGTATATCTTTTAAAAATGTGTATTGAGATCGTTTTTTTCCCATCTTTAAATTGGTTTGTGTTTTTATTGTGGAAATGTAACAATTATTCTGGAAATTAGATCTTTACATAGTTTGTAAATATCTCCATTCTGTGGGTTGTTTTCCCTTCATTTGATGAACAAAAGTATTTATTGGGTGGGAGTGTACTGGGGATTGAACCCGGGGGTGCTTTACTATTGAGCTTTATTCCCAGCCCCCCCTCCCTTTTTTTTTAATTGGAGACAGGGTCTTGCTAAATTGTAAAAGCTGGCCTCAAATTTATGAACCTCCACCCTCACCCTCCCTCGTAGCTGGGATTACAGGCATGTTTCACTAAACCCAGCATTTTGAGTTTTCTGAGTTTGTTCCCACTGCTGGGGATCAAACCCAGGGCCTTGTGCGTGCTAGGCAAGAGCTCTGCCTCTGAGCTGTTGTAACCCAGTGTGAAGTAGGAGTCCATACTTACTATTTTAAATTTATAGGCCTCTCTGGGCCTTCCAGTTTCCCAAGACATCCTTCCTTGAAATCTCCTCTTGAGTTTTTCCCTGTGAGATCATTCAGTGACTCACATTTTCATCTCTTGCCCTTATCTCTTATGAGGTCAGTTATTTTACCAACCTTTTAGGCAGTTTCATCCAGATACACCACAGGCTCCCCAACTTCTGTGTGACCAAAACGCAACTTGATTTGTTCTTCACATTACCTCTCTGCTTCCCTTAGATCTGATAAAAGCATCACCACTGAGGCTGGGATGCAACCAACCACCATCCATTACATTGCTTA